TTTCTTAAGCATTCTAAAATTTTAAAATTAAACATTAACAACATTAAAAAAAAACACTATAGTCAACTACGATTGCCATTCAATTCAAATAATGTTTTTATTCGAATCAGAAATTTTCGCAAAATGAAAAATATATTGGCAATAGACGAAAATGATAAGTCGGCCGACTTTACATAATCTAGTTTAGAGACAGGATTTTTCTATTACAACGCTTTAATTATGACCACCCTTTACGCCGGTTAAATGGAAACAACGTTTGTCGAGACAAAATGGAAAATTGACAGCCTAGATAAATTATTTGGCATTTACAGACATTAGTTGACTAAAAAAAAATAATTATTTTGTAAAAGCGCTAAGATTTAAGTTAATTTTTCTCCGCGTTGTATAAAATAGTAAGTTGTTTTGTTTTGTTCACCGTTAATTTCGCTTACAAAATACAAATGATTTAAAATAGCTTTTGCTATCATAAACGCTACTTAGACCGGGTCTTTAAAGAGTACTATTAATATATGTATATTTTCCATATTATGTTGTAAAATTGTTACTCCGTGTTATATTTTATTGCCATTGATTTGTAACATGATAATAAATAAAATGAAAATGAAAAATACATTTTCCTCATTGTTTATTTGAATTAATAAATTATTTTCTTAAATATAATTTTTTATACGATGATTGGTCAATATTGGTACAAAATAAAATGTATGACGTCCATGATATCCAACTAGAATACTGTAAAATAATTTTCTTTTTTTCTACATGCCCCTACTTTTTTATTTGAAGTTGGGAAGTTGATAAAAATACAAGAGATAAATAAGTTTCTAAGTAAACCCTGTAATCAATATTTATTTTTCTAGATGTTATTGCGTAAGTCGTTCTTTAGTTAGGAAGAGTAATAGTGGTAGTCCATATGCAGAAAAGGAGCGTTTTTATTTTTCCGCCCTAATTTGTCGCATTTGTTTGAAACACCTCCTATATCCATCAAAATTCAAATTTTCAGTGACATTTAGTTGTTTTTCTCGCAAAAAAAATTACGTCAGATAATGTTACGATTTAACCCGAAACTGGGTTATTGTGTTAAGTTTCGCCCACCGTTGTAACCGCCCGGAGCTTATCCGAATACGATCAGTTGCTTTTTCGTTGTGGAACTTTCAATTAAAAATAAAAAAATAGATTTGAGCCGGTCTTTGGCATTTGGAAAAAGCCCCAATTTCTTTTTTTTTTCTCATGAATATTATTAAATAAAATTTACTCTGCCCCCCCGTCCACGCCTCACTTTTTTTCGCATATTTGAAGATTCTGGTTTTGTTTATTTATTTATTTATTACTATAAGTTTTTATCGCAACAATTAAACAATTTACAATTAATACCAAAATTATGGAAGTGCATATAAAGTTAAGAATGTAAAAATGTAAACAGCGAAATTCTTAACAAATATATTTGTTATTGCATATATCGATTTTGAAGTAAAATAGTTATTCTCATTTTTAGTTACCCAATAGAATTTAATTATGTAATAATAAATAAATTCGTTAATGTTTAGGAGCTATTTAAGAAACCAAACGTTGTGTTCCCGCATTTGTTTTAGTTGTTAATTAATTATTTATTTTCCATTTGCGTATAATGCCTTAAACACTTTTTTATTTAAAATATACGTTTCTATTTCCTCGATCTCAAATGTTTTTGGTTACCTTTAAAACGACAAAAATTAGTCGTCATTAAAAATTAAAAAAACTTGTAGTTTATCAATTTCTTACTACAGTAGTTTTTCTGTTTTAATAACTTAAATAATCGACAACTTTAATTTTGCTCTTTAGCAAACTTTTAACCCTTACAAGAAAAGAGCAACAAAAGCATAATTGCAACTTGCGACTCTCATTGGTTTATAACCTAAATTTTCTTTCGATGATAATTGCAAACTTTAAAAAATATTTATTATAAAAGAAAATTTTGCGTTTCAAAATCTTCCGATTTTTATCACACTAAAAGCAACCCTCTATTGCCCTTTTTTTAAACTAATACGCGTATTCTCGAATAAATAACGAACTCACCAGCCTGTCGAATGGAGTCACTTTACACAATCTTAAAACGCCGCGAGTGGGCCTGTCTCGAAAACAATTATAAATAAATGTTATACATAAACTCATATAGACGAAGCGACATCAGACATCTTGGAATTTTTTTGCCACCCCACCTCGATTGTATTTTTCTGTAATTCTTGGCTTGGCTATCGATATTTATAAGCTGGGAACTCGTTCTGCCGTGGTAAAATGAAAGGTAGGGGGACGCTTGGAGTCCATTTGTTTTTGTTTTTTGAATCACCCGTTCAGAATTGTGTCGAACGTATGATTTCGGAGACGAATTTTTGGGCATTTTCCGTGAGCGCGCAGAAAACGGAATTCCTTAAATGAAAACAGACGCCGAAGGTCGTATTTTTTTCGACCCGATCCTCTCATCGCGTCCGTATTATCCGTCTAATTGGCGTCCGATATGCGCATACTAATTTTGCAAATTTACTGAGTAATATAGTTTTACAATAATTGAAAGGATGCATATATTATTATAGACGCGTTTGTTTAATAATTGCATGGTGCAAAGTGTAAAAGAGGAAGCATGTTACGTTAATCACGAAATGAGAGTTTTACCATTATTGAAAATCAAGTGGAACCAGAAAGCAATGGTCAGTCGAGCTGGGTGTCCGCCCCCGGTGGTCCAACGTTCACTTTTAATTTATTTTAATTTAATAAATACGGTGATTGCCACAATAAAAACGCAGGAGGCTTCTTTTATGTAAAAATGATTAAACTTTTCAAAGAAAATATTCACCTGAAAAAACGTCAGATTCGAATGTCGGACGGACGGCCCTGGTAAAAAGTAAAAAACGTGTTGTTCACCTGAAAATGATTTTTGTTGCGCAGCACATGCTTGCAGCATTTCCCAGAGGTCTCTAGACCAGCCTGCCTCTCGAAAGTTAAAGAATGTTTTCTCTTAAAATGACGCACTAATGAGGAAGCCGCTGTACATTCAGTACAAATCTCTTTGGAGTCTATGCAGAGATGAACGAAGATGTCAAGTTTAACTTAAGAGGCGGCGATGACAGGTTGATTATTGCTGGAGGTGCAGAAAGCCTACAACCACCTCTTAACAGGACAACAGAAATCTGCAAAGAATATGAACTGAAACTGAAGAAAACCAGACAAATGTTTATTGGGAAACACCGACCTTTTATTCCAAACTTCTATCTAGGCAAAATGTTTGATAGAGGAAGCCAAATCATCACTTCTTCGACTTAAACGAGTGTTAATTTTCCAAAGAAACTTCTACAGGCTACCGTAATACTATTTACAATAAATCTCTTGGATTCTCTTGCGTCGTTTGTACTAAAAGTGTAGTGAGTCATAATTTGAACCTGAAACTACGTTAGAATCGAAATTGCTTGGGGGTTGTCTATTTACTATATTTATAAATGAAGATTAAAGAGAATATGGAAGAGGATGTACTTTATGGTTGGAGAATCAACAAGTCAATCTACAGGTTTCCTATTTAGTCGTCAATGAAGTGCCGGTGGCCGACATGATGTGCAACGGGCGATAGTAAGAAAAAAAATAAACGAACAAAATGTCAAAAATTGATCTTTATTCATATTAAAAACGAAATCAGCATGTTAAATGTTGCAGAAAAATTAGGGCAGTACACTACATCTCATGTTAGCCCCGTACACATCCGCTTTCTGTACGATAATTTATCAAAAAGGTATGGAATTTTCTGTTTTTTAAAGAGTTTTCCTATTTAATTTTTATTTTTTTTATTTACCTATAAAAAAACGATAAAAACATATTTTCCTGATTTGTATGGTAACTATGAAGGGGATTTTGGCAAAAAAGATAGATATATTTTGCGTAAATTTAATTAGTAACTCATACTTGTACAAATTAACATCTAGTTTAACAAGACATTAATATAATAAACCGAGAGCATGATGAGTCACCATCATATTTGATTGTATATTGTATCGGGCGTTTAGTCTGAATTTAATTATTCGTTTGTTATAAATGTAAAGCAATAGTCCATCAATAATTTAATACGATGTTCTGTTCTACAAAATTACTATAATCCAACAAAGTGCAAAATAATTGTGCATTTCACAGAATTAAAAAATCCGTCATTACTATCTTGGAATCCTAACCAGTTACCCAGTTAGTTTTGGGTTAAGGACATTTTAATAACTATAACTTTTGCTTTATGATTATTTTCGTTTGAAATTGCGTCGAAGATTGATCACAAGAGTTAAATTTATTTAAAAAATTGGTAATTTTTATAAATAAAAAAAAATAACTTTATGGTTAATTAAATATAGGTTCTATTGTGTCATATTACATTTATATACAATTCGCGATTCAAAATTCAGAGAAGCCCATTTTAACATTTTTAAACTAAGATTTTCAAAAGGCTCACCCAACTTTTACCTTTTTGATTTTGGCACTATCAATTCTTATTAGTTCAATTTCACTTTTTTGTTGTTTGTTGTTCATGCGCGATAGGTGGAACAAATAATTTGCAAATTTATGTATAAGAAATTTCCAAAGATTGATTCTGAATATTTTTTGCAATAAAATATCCCTAACATATCTTTTTCGAAATATTGACGTTCAAAAGCAAATAAACATTTTCTTCTTCTTCAACGAAAAATTTTATTGCTCCTCACGAGATCGTAGTATATAAAAAAATAGTTTCTCGTCTCGTTGCCTATTTATTTTCAATTGCAAATACAAACCTTTGAATTGGTTAAAAATGGTAGGGCAACTGAAGATATAAGTATAGAACTTTCTGAGACTATTCAGTGATCAGGGTTAGTCAGAGATCTGTTGTTAACAAATCGCAATATTAATTGCAATTAACTGCTGATTTAAAAATAAGCAGCTCTATTTTAAATCATTTTGTTCCTATCATTACGAACGTACACTAGCCTCATTAAATCAAAATTTCTTCGCTACGTTCACTAATAATCCAAAATATATGCTCCCCAATCTTCTTTGATCATATCTGAAGCCTTTTCGCCTACCATCATGGCCGGAGCACTGGTGTGTGCCGATATAGTAACCGGAATAACGCTTGTATCTGCCACCCTTAACCCTTTTAGGCCGCGTACTCGTAACCTCTGGTCTACTACAGAGTTCGAGCCATTTCCCATTCGGCAGGTGCCGATTTGATGGTGCAGAGTCACGCCTAGGTGTCGAACGGCGCATTCCCAATATTGATCAGTGTCGAAAATAAAGTTTTCGCACCCGGGCACGGGTTTGTCGTATATTTTGGCCCCATATTGTTGAAATGCCTCGCTCTCCATGAGTTTTTGAGTTAATCTGATGCCTTTTAATAATACCTCCAGGTCATGTCCCTCTTGGTCGGTTAAATAGTTACCGAAACTTTTGGGAGGTTCATAGGCATCGCTGGAGGCCAATTTCAGCTCCCCATTAGATCTAGGATGCAACAACACTGGCAAAATTGACACGCACGGTATTTTTTCTAAGTGTTCGAAGTAATTCTCGTAAAACGCTTCAGTTATTCTTAGACCGCGCCTGGAAACCGTTCCTCTGTCAAATTGAAGCGTCCCAATCCCTGCCAAAAGTAGCTCGATGTCCGGATAGCTGGTGTTTTTGGTACTGATGTACGCTATGGCTTCGATGCCTCCCAAACTAGCCAGAAAGCCGGTGCCTCTGAACATCCACTCGAAGATGGTAGTTGGTTCGAACATTTTTTGCCTGGGCTCTATATGTCGATTGATAGTGAATACGAGCCCCATGAACCCTAAATGGTCGTACAGTTGCTTGCCTACTGGAAGATCTTGGACAGGCTCAATTCCCAATTCTAAAAGATGATGTAGGGGTCCTATTCCAGACAGCATTAGAAGCTGCGGCGAGTTTAACACTCCAGCCGATACGATAATTTCTTTAGAAGCGTTTACAAAGTATTGACCTTTCCCTCTGGAGAATTCCACACCATAGGCTTCTCTGGTTAGAGGGTTTATATTAATTGTGGTAACCGTCGCTCCGGTTACTATCTTCAGATTAGGCCTTTGGGACGCTGGTCCTAAAAATGCCGCAGAAGCGCTGTGTCGTCGACCGAATTTGATATTGGCCTGCATTCTGGAAAAACCGACGACTGAGTCGGTATTGTAGTCCACTTGCTTATAGCCTAGCTCCCGACCTGAGGGTGACAATTGAGGAAAAGTTTCGATTTTTTTTATTTATTATACCTGCTGCTATGAAGGCGTCTGTAAGTTCGCTGCTATACGAGTCTTCTACGTTGAGATAGCCGCCCCGGCTGTGGAAATTTGTATAACACCCCTTGCCAAGGTTGCAGTTTTCCGATTTGAGAAAGTAAGGCAGAACTTCTTGGTAGCCCCAGCCGGGATTTTCTGGAGCCAAATTTTGAGAATTTATACGGGATATATAATATATTTAATTAACTGATCAGATTTCCTCCGTAAAATAAATGCCCGAGTTTCAAGAAATAATTTTAATTCTAAAGAACAGCCATTATGTGTAGCTGTCCCCCTATATACCACGCTTGCTGAGTTCAATTCTGTAGGAATAAATATAGATTTATTACATTTTTAAATCTCATTAAAATATATAATAATTATAATAATAATAAATAGCCGTTATTAAAAAAAAAAAACAACAATATTTTACAAAAAGAATATCAAGTGATGTTATTTGGTTGGTGTTTGTCGAGGTGAAGTTAAGTTATTATTATCTTTTTAAGTTGTAAATCAGTTTGTACTTTACTCTGTAATCAGGGTTTACCTACAGACTTGTGTATTTAATAAATAAATAAAATACTGACGTATAGGATGGATTATTGATCACCCCTGCAATTTTTTAGTATTAGAATTAAGTATATTTTTATAGCAATTAAAAAAAAAGGTTTCTTTAACCAAAAAATTTATTTTTATTATTTTTTAAATGTTTTCCTCATTTATAGGTATTGAATGAATTATTGGGGTTTAAAATATAGTTTTCATTATTTGTAATGGTATTAAAATTTGCATAGTGTTGTATTAAATAAATGTCAGGTTTTCTTCTAATATTTTCAACGCCAACTATAATAATTTACAAAATGTCTTTTTGTAATTGGACACCGTGGCCATTATTTATCAATAATTATAAAAATAGACTATATTTCGTACAATTGAGTAAAAAATCAGCTCTGTAGATAAAAAAAAAAGTTATAGGCATAGTCAATCAATAACCATGTACCTTTTTCCCATTTGTCGTAGTCATTGGGATGTCCCCTGGTGTAAATCATGTAGTTCAGTACTGTTGTCCCACCCAATGCCTTTCCTCTAGGCCAAGCGCACTTTTGTTCTTCCATAGCTAAACAGAAGTCCTCTTGTTTCTCCATGGTGTAGTTCCAGTTGTAGTGGGTCACCTGTAATCAAAGTCAGTTTTTTTTCTGCTTTAAACAGCTCATAATGTCAGCCTTGTAAAACTCTTTATTCGAAAACCACTGTCTTCACTACTCTTTTTTGTTTTACAATATACAAAATCCAAAAACAACATAATAATAATAATAATTATTATTATAATTATAATAAAAATCAATTTCGATCTACCAAGTCTAAAACACAAGTCAATTCAGCAAAAGTACATCCAAGTTAATTTTGCATTAAACAAGATAGCAAGTAAGAATAAAGTGACGCTGTCATGGATATCAGGGCGCGAAGGCCAACAAGGTAACGACGGTAAAGAGACATGCCGGAACCAAAACAGGTCAAGGAATCAACAGAAGACCTACTCTCCTACAAGAGAAGGGTGGTAAAAATAAGGGTTGGTCTGCTGACGTCCCACTGGGAGTGAAAAAAAAACACAAATTCTGCTAAAAAGACAGCAAAGGGGAAGCAAACAGTCATACACGGGCTATATCAATGCGGTCAACGTAACCAAATCAGATGCAACGAGCTTCACCAAGGAGCCTCTATAGAAGCTGTAAAGTCTAATCAGAGAGACGGACGTAGATAAAGCTCTATAGCTCTGGAGAGAGTTACAAAAGATCCCTTGGGCCGTAGCGACGGACAGGTCAAGTACTAGCACTCCCGATTTGAATTTTGAACCTTACCTGATATAAAGGTGCCATTATAGGCACTTGATTCATAAAGTGGACTCGCTCGCCAGCTTCTAGAAGTAGAATATTCCAGTCCGGTACTTCCGATAGTCTACTTGCTATCACAGAACCTGAAGATCCCGACCCGATGACTATGAAATCGTATTCACTGTCTAAGAAAAATATCACCATATTAAAATGGTTAGGAATTTACATATTTAGATATTTGTTACCTATATCGATATCTTGGCCTATCCTGTTAAAAAATAACCCAGCTTGAACGTTGTTGGAGAATAAAAACAACCAATATAGAGCCAGCATGTTAATCGCTAAAGTCCAGAAAATAAGTTCTGTCAATCGATCAACTCAGAATTGGAAAACGAAATATTACTTACCCTGTTATCCGTTCATTAACACTTCGCGCACATTAAGAGACTAATCTACCACGGAATTTTCTTTCGGGATTATAGAAATTAATTATTAATTTAAATAGGGAAAGCGATGCATCATTGGTGAAATAATTTTAACCGGCCCAATTATCGTCAATTTTCGATGGAATTGATATCTTCCTGATCCTACTTGCAACCTAAACAAATATTTCTCCCATACGTTCGGTTCGGTTGCCCCTGATACCAGCACCTATAAAAGTTACAATAATAATAATAATAATAATAACAATAACAATAATAATATCAATAATAATAATCAAATCAAAATAAATGTTAACATAACGTACATAACATAATAACACATATGTTAATGAACAAACTGTTCAGCACTGAAGCAATATGTATTGCTTGTTAGTGCTTGTTCTTACTTAATATAACGACAAGAGGCCATTTTTACTACCTAGAATACACTTAGAGTTGAGTCTATACTAGCCACAGTCGAGATAAAGTCGCAATAACAGTTTCTTAGAATATTTAAGTAAGCTTTGAGATGAGAAAATCTCGTAACTAGAAATCTTGTTCTAATAACCAAATGTTTAATATGTTTGTCCCACCTTAGATTTTTGGCAGAACCAGTCTTTAGAATTTCATGGATTGTTTGGTGGATTCAAAGTGTGGTAGAGTATTAGAGTATGATGCAAAAGGAATAAATTTTGTCGTAGTGTTGTTCAGTCAGTTTAATATACTTAAACCATTTGCTGATAATGTTAAAATCTTGCTCTATCATTCGCTTAAGTTGATCCCAGTTTTCTGGGGTGTAAAATATGGCGGTGTCATCTGCAAAACTGCAATATCTAAGACATCGTTTATATAGATTGTGAACAGTATTGGACCCAATATCGTTCCTTGTGGAACACCGCATGTGGCAGTTTTTGTTTTGCTTTTAACCCATGTTATCCCAAGCATAAAAAAAAATAGAAAAATACATTTTTGCTCTGAAATTATTTATTTTGTTGTACTTAAGAATACATTATATGTGTCAAAAAAAAACTCGAAACATACAAAAAAATACTGGTCCTTAAACGAACCACATAAGATGTAACATATAATTTATACATAACTGTACAAAAGAAAGTTCAAATTCGACAGAAAATAACTAAAAATAGAATGTTTCCCAAATAGAACCCGATTTGATACAAAAAAACGGGTAATATTTTATGGTGCAAAGCACGAAATATGTAAAAGCACATTACACTTATTATAAACGTAAATTGTGTGGCTGTGGCAGATTCTACCTCTTCTTCGGGCTTTATTAGCATGAGGTGATCTTGATTATCATAACGCACTTCATCTATGGCAGGTGCAAGATTTCTTTGAGTAGTTATTTTATCAGTTTTTAAAAGTCGCAAAGCAATGTAAGATTTAAAATCTACCTGGGAAATCTTTTGTTCCTTGACAATATTATACAATTTCCATGCATTCACTATTAAACTATCCAGTGAATTACAAAATAAAGGCCACCACCATTTTTTTCCAAATACTCGGCACCTGTAATTGTTGTCATGTAAATGTACCCCACCCATATATCTATTGTATTGGGCAATTACATACGGTTGAGGCATATTTATATCTTTCCGTTCTTTTCTATTATACCGTTTTACATTTTCGACAGGATCTACGCTAGAAACATTACTTGCCACAGTTACAACTGAATTGTCGTGCCAACGGACAATATAATTTTTTGATTCAGATTCATATGCCGAAATATAGGATCTGCGGTCTTGTTTCCAAATGATTTACAATTTTCCATTGGACATTTATTTGTTCTATTTTCCCGGATAGTACCGGTGGCAAAATAACCATTAGTTTTTAAATGTCCAAATAGTCTGAATGATGGAAAAAAAAATGTCAGAAAAAATTTGGTGATTTACTAGCGTATCTACAACAGAAAGTAGACTCATGACAACGTCACCGCCAAGACCACCATATGGAAGTGAATAAAATAGGTACCAATCAGATGAACAAAGGCACCAAAGCTTGAAGCCAAAACGAACTGGCTTATAAATATTTTGCAGGAATGGCGGCCAAAGTAAGGTACCGAAAATATGCCAAACTGAAATTTTTTTTATTTATTACATCAATGAATTAATGAATTATCAATTGGAATCTATTGCGGCTCATACATTTTTCAATAAGATCAATTCTTTTGTCTTCATCAGTAGACCAATAATGCTAAATATGTGGCAATGAATGATAACCCGAGAACAATAAAATGCCTACAAACTTTAAAAATTCATTTTTTGACAACGAGAATTCATGTCTTGAGCATATTTTACCAAAAAATTTAAAATCAAATCAATCACTTCGTCATCAAAAAACATGTCAAGCGAAGTTTTTCCACAAAGCCTATTTTTTAGTTCCTCGCATGATCTAAATTCATCGGATATAGGTGTGTGGATATACTCATTCTGACCTTTCTTCCATTTTACAGCAGAAGCAAGCCGGTCGCTTGTAGAAAGCATACGTCTTCTATTGAATTCCAGGGTTTCATCATCTGATGAGTCCCATTCAGGTTCAGTAGTTGATGAATTATAGGACAGCTATATCATTCGGTGTATGTAACTCGAAAGTTGCAACTATATCTGTTGGTTCCCCAAACTCTTGTAGATTTATGTTATTGTCCATATCTTCTTCGTCAGTCAAGGTATCCACGTCGGGTGGGATATAGACCGCGTTAATATGTTCTGTAAATATTTTTTCACGTTATTTTTAGCATAAATTTATAAGGAATGGAATGCTACAGCATATGAGAATACGTAAATCCAAATAATACTTACGACTTTAATTGTTATTGTCATCACCCATCACAATCTCCTCCATAGCCGCCTCTAATTCCTTTTGAGTCAAATACCTCGAAAATGCCATATTTTATGAACTGTAACGTTCACTGCGCAAGGAACAAACTAATGCTAAAGAACACGCTAATTGTTGGATGTTTGTTCTACATGCGCTGACTTGTCTAGAATTGCAATAACATAGTTTTGTTTCACAGATAAAAGCAGTGACGCATTCACGCACCAGTAAATATTTTCAAAAAATAAAACATAATCAATATAGTATTTCCAATGGATGTTTTCTGCGAAGTAATGTACATGCTATAGACTTAACAAAAATGGCAATACAAATCCAAAATATTTTTTTTTTACTATTTTGGATTTACTTGAAAATGTGGTGCAAATTTATGTACCGCTTTTGTTAACTTTTGAAGTCATATATAAGATCTTTGCTTTACACATAAATTAGCGATTTCTACTTTTTTATGTCCTTTAGTAGTGATAATTAGTTGGGTTCCGTATAGGGTATAGGTATTTCATAACTTTTTCATAAAAAGAACTAAGAACTGCCCATTGAGTAGATGTGTAAGTTGACAAGGAATATTTGAAAAAATAATCAATTTCGTTTTAGACACACATTTCCAACCGTTGAATTTTAGGTTTAGGTTGAGGAAGATATAGAAATAGGGGAATTTGTCTTTATTGGATAATAAATTTTATAAATTGTTTATTAAACGTTTTATTCTATATAAAAACACGAGAGTGTAAATTCCGGCGCTACTGAAATTAATTTGGGTGTTCCATGAGGACAATTGTGGTCCCCTGAAATTCTCGTTTTTTATATATACTCGATATTTAGAATAGAACATCATAACCAGAATGCCAGTAACAATTTTGTCTAAAGCAACTTTTGGATTGTTTTTTTTTTTCACTGCATTAGAGAAACTTAAGCCAATTACTACAATTACATAATGCAATTACTTCATATTTTGCAATTTCACAACACAGTTGAGATTAACGTGAAAACAACTCCAAAATAAATACGAAAAGCCATATACTATTAGGTATGACAATAGATTTGAACTGGAAATTTCATTGTGAAAATGTTATTGCCAAAATAAACTAGTATACCCATTAATTATATTGACATTTAAAAAGTATTCTTGCTAAATGCACATTTTGACTATCTGTCTTATACATTTTTGAGTTTAGGTCTGTAGAAGCAAAAGTATTCTTCAACTAAACCAAAATGTGCATGATATTGACAATTAGATCTAACTTTATCATCCTTTTTTACTCCCTACTTTAAAATACCGGGATTATGTGCTGATGAAGCTTGCGGAAGTTGTCAGTTTAGAAGTTTAGCTTCATTATTTATTTGTTAAAATAAATAAGAACTAAGTTCAGATTTTCACGAAATATTTTGACATGACAATTGTAAACAGTAAACTCTATATATCCGAAACCTAATACACAACACGAACAAGTTAAAACAATTACATACATAGGAGAACCTAGTGAAAAAGTTTCAAAACATTTGTCAAAATGTAGTTTAAAAATAGCTTTCAGAACTAACAACACAATAGGAAAATATTTAAAAAACAATAAATCGAAATGTCCAAAATTCCAAAAATCTTGTCCTAAAATGTATATTGGACAAACAGGTAGATCCTTCAAGAAACGCATTAACGAACATAAAAGAGCGTTTAAAAACAATAGTCTAGATTCTAATTATGCTACACACTTACACATTTTTGACGACAATTTTGATATATTACATACAGCTACAAAAAGTAGAAAATTAAATTTATTGGAAGCCATGGAGATTAACAAAATGAGACATTCAAATGTATTGCTTAACGATCAATTAGATTTAAATACCTCTCCTTTATTGAACTTAAATTCTCGCAACAACAATAATTAAGGTTTTGTGGTCATTTTTCGGTATATATAGTAGCAGCTAGTTTGTAAATATTACATTTGATAAAGACACGGTGTTGTCGAAACAATTGTCATGTCAAAATATATATTATTTCGTGAAAATCTGAACTTTTAGTTCTTCTTTATTTTGATAAATGGATTTTCATCAAGTAAAAGCCTCCTCAGTTCAATATTTATTTGTTGTATTTATTTATTTTATGGTATTCGTTTTATATTCGTATGACGTTTTCGATATGCAGGAAAACATGTCAACGGAAATGAAAAAATATTATTATTATTTCATAATAAAATGGGGGGGGAGGATATATATGTTCGTAATAAATAAATGCGAATTTGTATTTATTGTAATTATTTCTGGCATTATTACAAATGGGAAATCCGTTAATAACATTTCTTAGTTGATTCTTCTTCTGTACTTCCAAGGTAAAAATATATACAGGGTGTTTCAGACTTGGCGAATCAAAGTCTGCCTGTCTTGTTTCCATGATACGGAACCGAATTCACCAACTTTTAAAGTCATATTTAGCTGAATAATACACTTTTTTAAGTAAAACATAGAAACGGTATTTGCGTGTGACAGTCAAAAAATAATATTTGGAAAATCGGGCAGGTATTTCGGTAATTTCTAACTACAAACGACTAACCTTCTACATATATGCTATATTTATTTGTAACAAGATAGTTGTTTGTAATTCAGTTGGTTTCGCCGTTCCCTACTTTTATCGTTGTAGCATGAGGACCTTTTGTAAGTCCTTTTGATGATTTTTGCCGCCTTTTCGGCTAGCATGACTACCGTCGCCTCCACGTGTCCGGACATTGTCACCGGAATCACACTCGCGTCGACAATTCTCACGTTTTTCAGCCCCCGTATTCTAAATCCGCAATCGACAACCGAGGATGTGTCTGATCTGGCACCCATTTTGTTTCCCCCCATGTAATCGCCGAACGATACTACCAGTTTTGTCAACGCCTTCTCCCAGTATTCTCTCGACTTATAGGGCAAGTTGTCGCAAATGGGTGCTGGGTAAAGGACTGGTCTAATCTAAAAAAAAGTAAAATCAAAAGTCAACAAACCCGGTGAGTGGCGTTGTAATCCAAAAAAAATCTATAAAGTCCTATAAATTAACAGAAAATTGGCAGCTAATGAAAAAAGCTCTGTGAAGTGGCGGGGGATAGTTTTGTTTCGTAAACAATGCCTGACTTAACTGTTGTTGCAACTTTAGATAACATGATTCTTGAGAAAAACAACTTATTCAAAAACTTTTCTAGAATGTCAATGAGAATAGCCAAAAATCGGTTATTCACCTGCAACGCTTATGTGTTGTCATATAAGTTTTGATTTTGTGTTAATTAGAATTAAATTGTGTATAGATAAAATTTTGAAGATTAATAATTGAATTAATAATAAATGAATAGATTAATAATTAATGAATTAATAAATTAATTAATTAATTGAAGATTTATTTTTTTTTATCAAGGAATCAAAAATGAAACAATTTTGTTCCTTTCATTTTTTTGCGTTTAGTTTCTTCTTCAATATAAAAATTAGAAAATGTTGCCTTGAATGTTCCTAGACTGACTACAAAACTTAAAAAATGTTTTTAATACAACTGGGCGTGCTTTTTTGCGATGACAAGCGATTTATTGTAATTGAAATGAAATTATTTATTTCGGAGTGTTCATTATTTAATAAAAAAAAAACATAAAATAAAAGAACCAAACACTGCGATATTTTTATCCAACACTGTAAAATCGAAAACTGCTACTTTATCGTGTCCCTCTATCACTTTGGTTGGTTTCCTTGTACCTATCGGTTGAAGTTTTTCCGTAAAATTCGTTATTATAATTCATTAGAAAAAAAAAAACATCAACTTATCGCTAGATAAAAATTTCAAGATTAATAATTGAATTGAATTGAATTGAAAGCAATCAAAAATGAAACTTTTTTGTTCCTTTCATTTTTTTGTGTCTAGTTTCGTCTTTCAGATAAAAATTAAAAATTGTTACCTTGAATGTTCCTAGACTGACTCCAAAACTTTAAAAATGATTTTCATAGCACACGGGGTATGCTTTTTTTGCGTTGACAAACGACTTTATTTATTGTATTAGTGTGAAATTATTTTTTTCAGAGTGTATCGATTCAATTTTTTCCGTAATATTCGGTATGATAATTCATTAGAAAAAAATTACAGCTATCTAATCAGCTCTGAATATAAAATAAAGTGGTTCAATACCCTGCTTAGTTAGAACTGCGCTTTTCTGCGTTTTGGCAAAGCAAAATCTAAAATTTGTTTAATTTTTGTTGCAAGCTTCCATAAATAAGCGGTTAAAGAACGTAATTCGTTAATTACTCGAAATGAAGTAAATGGATAGCTTGAAATAGCAAGTAAACTTACAATACTCAAAAAATAAGACAATAAGTTGTCCACTAAGACTACTAGAACCCTCTTGAATGCACAGTTCAATCTTTCTTTTAAAATCATAGCTCTCGCATGTTCAAATAAGTTTCTTAATTTATTTATGATATTGTTCCTTCTTCGTAGACGATAAGTTTATCTTTATTAAATCGGCTGACTTCAAATAAAAAGCAATCGTAATGGGCAAAAATATGCTATGATCTATTTAAACAAATATATTTACTTATAATTGAAAGTATTTTTTAAATGTTTTATTTTCCGATTTTATGCATTTTATCCATAAAAACATTTTTTTTTTAATGTAATATAGTAACTTTAATTCCTGTAAAGTGAGAGCCGAAGTTGAAACACGCGGTATAACAATTACAAATGATCATTAGGGCGGTGGGAAACTCAACCTTTTCGAATTCGGTGGTCCGAGTCAAATTTTCGTCGATGAATATAATGGCATCCGCGAGACGTTGCACGTCCAAGGGATGTTTTAAATAATTTGTTCTGATCTCGGGTTCGCATTTGGGGTTTTTCGATTGTAATCTGACGGTGCCGTTCGACTGCGGATGCAACAGAATCGGAAAAATATGCATGCCGAATAAGTGCTCCGCCATTTTGTAGTTTTTCTTGTAGACCTTATCGGATATGCCGACCCATGATTTCAACTTTTTATTTATTAACTTGTTTACGAGCACGAGCTCGACGTCCGGCCTATGTTTCGATTTTCCGAAGAGGAATCCGATTGATTCAACTCCTCCGGTTCGTCGGGTTTTCATGAAATCATTTACTAGATCTGGATCCACCATGTAGTTGAGGCCGGGGTAAGCTATGTGGTCTCTGATATCTGAAAAAAGCATTTATTATACAGGGTGGTCCATTTGAATTGGAAACTTCCCCATATTTTTCAGACGATCTCGAAATACCTATAACAATCATCAAAAATTTTATTCCTCGTATAAACGTTCATATTTAAGGTATATTGGTATTATTTCTTTAAAGCATATATATATATATATATATATATATATATATATATATATATATATATATATATATATATATATATATATATATATATATATATATATATATATATATGATGACACTATATTCCGGGATATCATCCGTTCGCTCGTTGAACTCCGACTGGAATCCTGCATCCGACTGGAATCCTGCAAATCTTGCATCCGACTGGAATCCTGCAGACGTTTCGCCAAAATCTCACTTGGCATCTTCAATGCTCGCGTTCCGAAAACACTTCGAACACTGGGAGGTTATCGGCGGTGCGTGCGGTATTTATACTCTGCGCCGGAGATGGTAACGGTGCTGCTTATGCGTGGGGGGAGGTGGCTCCGCCCCCTGAATTGTCGCGTTGTTAATTTCGCCCGATCGTAGTTGCGATGTTCCCGTTGGCTGCTGCGCATCGCTCTGCTGTTTGATTATCGTTCTCCACGTGTTGGATAAATGCAGAGCGTCGTCTCTCGTATTGAGGTGTCCGGACTTTTCTATTTCGATGGCCTCTCGTATAATCCTAGTCCTAAAATCAGGAATATTAGCTATTTGTTTGCAAGTGCCGAAATCAATTTTATGGCCTGTCTGATGTTGGTGCTGAAACAAAGCAGATGTTGTTTGTTTGTTTCTTATGGCTAAACGATGTTCCTCGAGCCTGGCTGAAATCCTTCTGTTGGTCTGTCCCACATACGTCAGGCTGCACGATCCGCATGCTACACTGTATACTCCTTGGTTTTCCAGAGTAATTTTTTGTTTTGGGTTTCTTAGTATTGCTCCGATGGTATGGTCAGGTTTGTATGCCGTTGAGATGTCGTTTTTCCGTAATATTCGGCCGATTTTGTCAGTAACCCCCTTGATGTATGGCAGGACAGCGATCGATCTTCGTTGGGTCTCGTCCTGCACTCTCTGCTGCGGCTGTTGTTGTTTACTGATTGCCTTGCTGATGGTGCGCCTTTGGTATCCGTTTTGTCGAAGACAGGTACTAATTTTCTTCAGTTCTTTATCTCTGTTCCTCTCGTTTGTGAGCCTGAAGGACCGAGCAATTAATGTATTTGCCACTGCCTGTATCTGTGATGGGTGGTGATGAGATTTAGCGTTCAGATATCTATTAGTGTGTGTTGGTTTTCTATAGACAGTGTGTTCCAAGTGTCCATCTTCGGTCCTTGTGATGAGCACATCTAAAAAGGGCAGACTGTTATCCTCTTCAAGTTCTATTGTAAATTGAATCCTTGGGTGAATGGAATTCAGATGATCTAGGAATTTCAAAAGCTCCTCCTTGCCAAAAGGCCATACAACAAATACGTCATCAACGTATCTTGTCCATAGTTTTGGCTTCAGATTTGCCTTCTCTATTGCTTTCTTTTCGAAGTAAATCATGAAGAGGTTGGCAATCACAGGTGAGAGAGATGATCCCATTGCTGCTCCATCTATTTGTCGGTAAATTTTCCCGTTGTGCATAAAGTAAGCGTTTTTCAGGCAATGTCTTGACAGATCCATTATGTATGGCGGAAGATCTTCGTTTTCTTCTATAAGCAAGAGTGCCTCTTCTACTGGAATACTCGGGTAGAGGGATTTGACATCGAAACTTGCCATAATGTCGTCCTTGTCCATCCTGAGAGAACCTAAAATCTGAGTGAAATGTTCTGAGTTTTTAACATAGGAATCTGCCTTTTCCACTATAGGCTGAAGTGCACTGGCCAGATGTTTTTCCAGCTTGCATAATGGTGAGTTAAAGGCGCTTACGATTGGACGCAGGGGAACCCCGTCCTTATGGATCTTTGGGAGCCCGTAGAATTTTGGGCAACGACTCGATTTTTCCCTCGGAATAAGTTTCTTCTTTGTATCCTCGTTTATTGATGAATCGAGAATTTTGGACTTAGTTGTTTTTTCCAAATATGTCGTGGGATCTCTGGTGACTAGTTTGTATATTGGGTCGTTCAAAATATCCTCCAATTTTGCATTATAATCCGACGTATTCATGACGACAGTGGCATTTCCTTTGTCTGCTGGCATTATTAGAATGTTTTCGTTTTTGTTTAGATTCCTTAAGGCTTGCATTTCTTCTCTGCTTAAGTTTGGTTGCGGTGGTTTTGACTGTCTTAAGACTCTGGCGACATCTTGCCTAATTAACTCCGCATCTTGTTCGTCTATGGTGGAAAGACTTGCTTCGACGTTGGAAACGATCTCTTCGACGGGTACTCTTTTTGGAGCTATTGCGTAGTTAAATCCTTTATTCAGTACGCTGACTTCTGTATCGGAAAGATGGTATGCTGAAATATTATGAACTGTACTGCTTCGGTTTGTATTTGGCACTTGTCCTGATTTTTTGGAATTTGACTGAAGGATTTCTAATTTCTTCCACAGTTTTTTTGACGTGATGTCCTTGTCTTTCTCAGTGCGCCATGATGTTAATAATTCTATGCGGTCCCACAGCAACTGATGGATCTTGTTGCTCAGTTTCAGGTGGAGTCTGAAAAGTTGTAGCTCAGTCTCACTAATTTCGTACCGGGTCCGCCTGATCTGGTCTTGGAGTAGGGCCTTGCTAGCTTTGTCCAGGATAGCTTGTGTCTTTCTGGTGCGTGTGTGATAAGACAACCTTGTAAATGTTGGCAGCAAGTTCTGGTTGCGGCAGCTTTTAAGAAAATTCAAGTTGCACAGCGAAATAACCCTCTTTTGTCTTAGTTTTTCATAACACTTGGTGGCTGTAAAGATCTCCTTCCCGTAAAGGTGTATGATATTCTCACGTATTGATTCACGGATGGAAAAATGTGATGACACTATATTCCGGGATATCATCCGTTCGCTCGTTGAACTCCGACTGGAATCCTGCATCCGACTGGAATCCTGCAAATCTTGCATCCGACTGGAATCCTGCAGACGTTTCGCCAAAATCTCACTTGGCATCTTCAATGCTCGCGTTCCGAAAACACTTCGAACACTGGGAGGTTATCGGCGGTGCGTGCGGTATTTATACTCTGCGCCGGAGATGGTAACGGTGCTGCTTATGCGTGGGGGGAAGTGGCTCCGCCCCCTGAATTGTCGCGTTGTTAATTTCGCCCGATCGTAGTTGCGATGTTCCCGTTGGCTGCTGCGCATCGCTCTGCTGTTTGATTATCGTTCTCCACGTGTTGGATAAATGCAGAGCGTCGTCTCTCGTATTGAGGTGTCCGGACTTTTCTATTTCGATGGCCTCTCGTATAATCCTAGTCCTAAAATCAGGAATATTAGCTATTTGTTTGCAAGTGCCGAAATCAATTTTATGGCCTGTCTGATGTTGGTGCTGAAACAAAGCAGATGTTGTTTGTTTGTTTCTTATGGCTAAACGATGTTCCTCGAGCCTGGCTGAAATCCTTCTGTTGGTCTGTCCCACATACGTCAGGCTGCACGATCCGCATGCTACACTGTATACTCCTTGGTTTTCCAGAGTAATTTTTTGTTTTGGGTTTCTTAGTATTGCTCCGATGGTATGGTCAGGTTTGTATGCCGTTGAGATGTCGTTTTTCCGTAATATTCGGCCGATTTTGTCAGTAACCCCTTAATTGCTCGGTCCTTCAGGCTCACAAACGAGAGGAACAGAGATAAAGAACTGAAGAAAATTAGTACCTGTCTTCGACAAAACGGATACCAAAGGCGCACCATCAGCAAGGCAATCAGTAAACAACAACAGCCGCAGCAGAGAGTGCAGGACGAGACCCAACGAAGATCGATCGCTGTCCTGCCATACATCAAGGGGGTTACTGACAAAATCGGCCGAATATTACGGAAAAACGACATCTCAACGGCATACAAACCTGACCATACCATCGGAGCAATACTAAGAAACCCAAAACAAAAAATTACTCTGGAAAACCAAGGAGTATACAGTGTAGCATGCGGATCGTGCAGCCTGACGTATGTGGGACAGACCAACAGAAGGATTTCAGCCAGGCTCGAGGAACATCGTTTAGCCATAAGAAACAAACAAACAACATCTGCTTTGTTTCAGCACCAACATCAGACAGGCCATAAAATTGATTTCGGCACTTGCAAACAAATAGCTAATATTCCTGATTTTAGGACTAGGATTATACGAGAGGCCATCGAAATAGAAAAGTCCGGACACCTCAATACGAGAGACGACGCTCTGCATTTATCCAACACGTGGAGAACGATAATCAAACAGCAGAGCGATGCGCAGCAGCCAACGGGAACATCGCAACTACGATCGGGCGAAATTAACAACGCGACAATTCAGGGGGCGGAGCCACTTCCCCCCACGCATAAGCAGCACCGTTACCATCTCCGGCGCAGAGTATAAATACCGCACGCACCGCCGATAACCTCCCAGTGTTCGAAGTGTTTTCGGAACGCGAGCATTGAAGATGCCAAGTGAGATTTTGGCGAAACGTCTGCAGGATTCCAGTCGGATGCAAGATTTGCAGGATTCCAGTCGGATGCAGGATTCCAGTCGGAGTTCAACGAGCGAACGGATGATATCCCGGAATATAGTGTCATCATATATATATATATATATATATATATATATATATATATATATATATATATATATATATATATATATATATATATATATATATATATATATATATATATATATTTAATGGAGCCCAATCGCTGATTATTTTTTCTTTTTCTGATCATAGTATGTAATTACACTGTGTTTATGCTCCGTTTCTTAATGCGAAAGAGTCATGAATCATTATTGAACTGTAAAATTTAGTGGTCTTTGCTGAAATTTTACAGGCGTAGTATTTTATAGTGCAACACACGATAAACAGTCATAACTGCATTAATAAATACCATTACCGATCTCATCTTCTGGTAGGCAAATAAAATCGGCCCACGGTAGTTGTAAAGAAATTGAAACCCAAATTACATATATAAATATGTTCTGTTGTATTGCGTTTTGCATAATTGTAATTAGTGAAATAATAATTAGTTTTAGCTGTGCGGTCACTATCATTCATTGACAACATTATGGGCTTTACGTTGTCCCAACTTCTTTTAAAATATATAATCAAGTACATGATTACCCTCTCCAACTGCTCTCTGAGTTTATAGTGTTGGATCTAACTTTGTTTTCCATATCATTTCTATAGGACTCAAATCGCAGTGATAAGTAGTATATTATATTATAATTATCTATACTAAATATGTTGTATCATACGATTTGGTTGTTAAAACTTCAAACAGTTGTTTTTTTTGCATAAGTATCTTCAAATATCTTCCAGTACCTTCAATACCTCTTTGTTGCTGCTGATCGTTGGTATTTTTTTAGCTAAAGTGCTGCGATAAGTATCATTATTATAAACTACTACACTTACTAGAAAACACTCTAGTTCATCTGACCACTCGGAAAATGATATTTAAAACTTACAAATCCAGTTGTAGGTATTGCAAATAGTACTTTTTTTCAATAATAATATGTATTACAATTTATCTCTTTATTTACTTTATCTTAGATTATCTCAATTATCTACTCATCTCAATAATTATAATCACGCATCATTATTAATAATATATTTATTATTCCAACAAATTACCTGTAGTAACGCCGCTGCCACAACACTTTCATCAACCAAATTTGTCTTTCTATTGTAGGTAAATCAGTGTGAACCTAATTTACGAACGGTTCGAGGTGTGTAGGTCTTAAAAACTAAAACGAAAACAATCATTGCAATTTATGTGAACTTTACGGATATAACCTTTAAGTTGTCCACCCTATTTAATTTTATTATTTATTACTCTCTCGGATTAAGAAACAAGCTATAGATGAAGATGTTTTATTACGGAGGAAAATTTCATTCTATTCTACCACATCACAAAGCGGAAAAGATTCAAAATAACCTAAATACTTTGTTACAGGCTAGATTTTCCCCAAATCAGAAAATTGCTTTTAGTTAAATATCTAAGTTTAATCCAGCAGTATTAATTAACATAATTTTAACAGGTACAAATAATAGGCATATATACAACTATAAAAGGGACAGTAATTAGTTTCATCTCCTCTATATTCCAGCTCACGTCTCGTCTTTACTTCTCGTCCATCTAAACACAAATGGTGCATGCGCGAGTAAAACACTAAAAAAAAGAAAAGCATGTTTATAAGTCAGTTTTAGGCATACTATCGGTTCTCAACTAGTGTACAATTTTTGCACCTTGCACTTACCTCAAGTTCAGTCAGGTGTTCATAATAATTGGTTGTGTCAAATTTCACCGGCGACATCGAGGTTTCCAATCCAAATTGCAAACATATTTAACCTTACGCTTGGAAGCAAATTTCAATTACTACTTGCGATACGTTGTCCCGGAATCACTGGTCGTACTTTCAATATGGGGTAGCGATCGGAATCCCAATTAAATTCTTACTTATCTCAGCTACAATGTAAACAAACGAAATTAAGGTTAGAACTTTCAAAGCCAAAGCACTCTCGCGTAAAGTAAAGGAAAGCAACTTACCTATGTTGTCATGCTGCGTTGGATTGATAAAAATCATCTTTCATTCACGAAAACATTTTAATCGATCGCAAGCCAAATGTCAATCAATAACGTTCAATTCGTCCGGAAGTGACCAGAGTTGCGACCGTCTGTCATCGCCAGGGAATTTCGAATCGATTGGATGCTTTTCCTCAACCAATGAAATCTTTTTGTTGTTTTTTTTGTTATTTTCAAAATTAAAAGAAACAAGCTCGTATCGGGCTCTTTTTGATCTAGAACGCTAACGCTAACCCATCGGAGTTTCGCACCCATATTTTAAGGTTGATTCAGTTGATATCAAGTTTTGTGGATTTGAATATATTGGGTAACGCGAATTTAAATAACTCCGATAACTAGCGAGGAAGGCCACTAACAACCTGGTAAGCATGTTATACCAGCTATTATCTTGAAATTTCACTTTTTGTTCCCTATCACATGGTCTCTTCTGGCGCGGCATGATGTAACTGGGTACTTAGGGTGGTTCTGCTTCCTTTTAGGCCTTTTATTTCCGGGCACTATAAATGGCCCTATCAAAATAATAAGCACTAGTTTGTTCGGATATCAAGCGACAGGCATTTTCTTTTGTCAATACCTCCAAGAAGGTCGCCCAAGGTGAAAGGTGAAATTTGTGTCTCGATGACCTTTGAGACTGAGGACCGTACATTCCAGAATATTCCAGACAGTCATGCTGATTAACATCCACCAGAGGAAAATACAGCAATAGCACTAAAATTTGGTATTTGTGAGTAGTTTACACTGTTCTAAAGCGGATTTGTGTATTACATGCCTGTTATGTAAGGATTGAGCGCTCAAGACCGTAAAGCTGAAACGATTATTTATAACTTTGGTAGCTTATGCTTTATATAACACCACACTCGTACTTTTGGTTTTCCCCTTTTTCTTTTGGACGCTTGCTATTAACTTAAGGCCTAGACTTTTTTTTGTAGCTAATACTCCTCCTTTCCCGTTTTGTGATAAATCAGTTTTTCACTATTCGAGGAGCTACGTCCGGTGAAAAACGGGTGGCGCCAAAATCTCTCTCAATTTGCTTACGTTTTAACCACCCCCTCACCAACTGGGTGGCCAGGGCAGAAATAGGACGAACTCCTCAACTTTAAACAACTTTCGAGTAGTGAATCACCGAGTACAATTATAGTCTGACCACCCTTAATTTAATACTTCAATAAGAGTCTACCTCTCCGTTATCTTTTATCTTTTTCTTTCAAGTTTTTTTTTATTAGCCAGTCGAAGTGCTAACAACTTAATATAACAATATCAATAACATAAACGCATAACATAACATATATCAAACACCGTAACCACTGTACACTGTGTAGTGCAGTTTCCAATTCATTTCAATTAACATTAAATACATTTGTTTGAACCTCGCTTAGAATATCGTTTGCCATCATTATATCTAAAAGAGAAATGTTTATATCTACACCCAATAGTTTTTGCGCCTAGATTAATCATTGGCACGTAGAAGTATATAAAATTAATTAAATTACATTACTTTCTACTTAATATTGCTGAAAATAAAATATATCACAATTTGTTGTTTTCTTCTTGGTACGGGAGATATGAATTTAAACCTATCAAGCATTAATGTTTTGACGGAAAGAAAACCTTTAAGTCATTTAACCCGTTTTAATTGTTTTGTTTGGTTTTCTTGTAAATGCGTTCGACTGCAATTCACTGAAAAGGTATGGTGTGTCTCAAAATATATCGTCTTGGCTGTTGACGGACACTTCCCCAAACAGTAATTACGATCTTCATCTTATTACTACTGGATAAACCCAACACCCAATAATTTATTGGTACCTAAGAGACAAGACAGGAGCGAGTCACGTAAGAAGTTGATCGCGTGTCGGCTGATATCAGCAGCAGTATCAGTGCGTTTCGAAAGAGCATCTTCCGAGTAGGTATATAACTAAAAAATTAGTGTAATACCTACTAATTTTTCCGTTATGTGCAAATTGTGAGAAATGTGTATGAATGTTTAATAAGTAGACATTGACAAAAACGTATTAATTTAAGTAATCATTGATAATTTGTATATACAGTTGAATCCCTCTATGGCGACTACTCTCGGGGAATCAAATATTGGTCGCTTAAAAGGAAAACACAGAAATTGAAGAAAGTGCTGGCATTTTAGATTATTTATTTATTCATGGCTGAGCATGGCTGTCTATGCATTGTATAGGAATCCATGAAATGCGAAGAGAAGGGCTACAAATATGTTTGGAACCGCAGTATTTGTTAGGAAAAGTAAAAATGACCGTCCAATCAGAATAAGAGATAGTGGCCACATTGGCACTTCATTGAACCACTCTGAATAACCAAAATTAATCTTATGCAATCTTTGGGCCAGTTTTTTTTGTTCTAAATATGTTACCATGGCTATAAACTCCAATTATAAATATTTTAAAGTTGTACATTTAAATTCTAATTCTTTCGCTTTTTTGTGTAACTGAAAGTAACTTAAAATCTAATATACTCATATATATATATATATATATATATATATATATATATATATATATATATATATATATATATATATATATATATATATATATATATATATATATATAGAATATAGAATATAGAATATCCTCAAAGTGAAAAAATACGTATTAAGTACTTGTGATAGTGACTTACTGGGGAGCCTTTTAGTATAGTAAGTTTAAAAGTTAAAATTGTACTTGTTGCTGTGCTTTACCGGTCAAGGACAGTGTATAAGTGAGTCAGTTGCAAAAAGGCATGGCATTATGTCTGAAATATCGCTGGTATTTGATTACATTATTGCTACAGGTGATGTGAATGTTGACTTGCTGGGCCCAAATAACCTCCTTTCAAAATGTTTTGATCATATTAGTCAGATTATCAATTGACCAACTGATGGACTTCAAAACTACTCGACCCTATTTTAGTAAGTAATTTGCAAGTGGATGGTAGCTAAATGTGTCATGGTGTGATTATAACAAATTTTATTTCAGATCGTAGCTTAATTTTTTGTGTTATATTTAGAGTATACGGAGTCCAAGCAAAAATGGTACACTTTTAGGTCTTTTAAATACTTTAGAGAAGACCAATTCCTTGGGAATTTGCGGAGTATTAACTGTGACAATGTTTATTATATTACTAACATTAAGTAAAAAAGATTGTTTTTAAGTGGCAATATTGTGCCCCAGTTAAACAGTTAGCCTGAGCAAACCTTTTGCGCCATGGTTTATGGAGGCAGTATAGTAGATAGGGAACGCGAGAGATAGAGCATTTCAAAAATACAAAAAGAACGTTTTGTCCTTTTGCACTTCATTCTGCAGAAGACATTAGCAGAATTGTAAAACAGATTAAATCAAATGCTGCCGGATGTGACGATGTTTCTTTACTTATGGTCAGATTGTGTCTCCTGGTCACACTGTGTCTCCCGGTCATACTGAATCACATTGAATCACATTACCCATATCATAAATATTTGTTCCAATTATGAAGGTTGCTTCTTCATCCTGAGTCAATGATCTTAAATCATTTAGCCTATTACCTGTGCCTAGCAAGCAGTCAGGTTTTCGGCTAAATCATCACACGCTTACTGCTTTACTGCATATTAAAGATCTATTAACAAAAAATTTCGATAAAAATATTTCATTGATACTGGTCTTACCTGACTCTTCAATTAAGTGGATCATGAGTTGTTGTGTACGTGAACTCAATTAATTATTGTAACGTCAAAGCTTAATCTTAAAAGTGTTTCTCAATATTGTAAAAAACACAATCTTAAGCTAAATTCTAGAAAAAACACAAATTATGCTAGTTGGTCTTCTTTGGAAGCTATAATTTTTTGTGTGATCATATAAAAATTCAATTGGAAAATGAAGATCTTAAATTTAGAAATGAAGCAAAAAAACTTCGGAGTGCTAATGGATGGTCAATTGAGATATAGTGGTCACATTTCTAATTTATGTAAAAACACATATATATCTGAACGCCGCAATAAACTGCAAATAAACATATATTGAATTTTAAAGTAGGAAAAAACTCTCTGAGGCATGCATTCTTGCATGTTGCTGATCAATCCAGATTACAAAAAAAACCAGAACAGCTGTGCCCGATTCGTTTCTGGTTTGAGAAAGTTTGATCGTTTATAAGAAAAAATATTTGCATTGAAATAACTAAAAACTTTTTCAATTTTTACTCGCAATTGTTGTATTTAAGGTTATGAAATATTCTTTATCAACGTACATGAATGATCGTTTATTGTTTCGGTATGAAAAACATTCTTGATATGCCGCAGCATAATTCTTGTAACTTTGGACGTTTCTTTAGCTATAATGCCATTAAGCTTTGTAATAATTATAATAAATATTTTGAATCTTGCTCAGTCCTACATTTAGGAAAAAATTTAAGGTCCATTTATTAGAACTGCAAAAGTATCTGTTCTAAACAAATTAATATTTTATTATAGCTTGTTGTTTCATTATTGTAATATTCGGTTAATGCTGAGTAGCTCGGATCAAGATCTTAAGCTCGACTTGACCGTTCGAGATGTGTAAGTGTATTAGTTTGTATTGGTTTAAGTTAAATCTTGTGCAATATTGTAAAATTTTTCAATAAAGACTATTATTATTACTATTATAATTTTAATTATAACTTAATAAAAACGAGTTAAACTAAATTTAATATACACAAATAAGAAATAAGAGCTTTTTATGTACAGTGTGTCCGATTTTAGATACTTTTGCGAGGTAGCTCTGTTATTTTTATAGATATAGAGTTGTGGTTTTCAGGCTAGTGTATTACTTTTTTGTGAAACTAAAGATGCTGTTAACAAAATTTTTATAGCCCTTTTAGTTTTTAAAATAAAGTCAAAATGGAAAATATTCCATTTCCTGGCGGCAGATAGCTTTTCGAAAATGTGAAAATCGTTCCTGCCTTTTTGCATAAAACTCAATTTTTCAAAATTAATGTTTACTTTAATACAAGGCCAAGAATAAGTTTCCAACGTCAGTTTTGTAGGTAGCATAAACTAATGATATCCCAAAACAAACAATAAACTACATTATTACAAAAAAACGAAAGAAACAAACACCTATTCACATTTCAATAATGGTTTAGATGTACCTTTAACCATGCCATAATTGTTCAAATTAAGAGAATGTCAATGTCAGATTCGCACAAAACAAGATATAGAACTTTGTAGTTTTTTTTCCAAAACGCTCTGCATAGACAGGTAAAAAAAAATATATTTTTCAGTTTTTAAAGTGTTCATTAACTGAGGTTTTATTGTATTATTATTGTATTGTATTGTATTACTATTGTATTATATTATTGTTTTATTTATTTACCGTAATTTCTATTAGTACTAATTCCATTTAATTACATCTAAATAATTCATTACAATTACAATACCTAGTCGTGGGGTATTTTATTGCCTGCTGCAAGTTATTTCGATAATTGCCGTCAAAAGCGAAGACGATATACTTTGAGACACACCATACTTAGTTCCAAAAGTTTTCTAAGTAACAATATATTATCGGACTAGTCTCAAAATCCTTACAAATAAATAAAAAAGAAATGATGACGTGACAAAAAAATAACTCCGCGCAATTATTAGGGGCTTTTCTGAACTTTAATCACTCACAGCTGACCGCAATAATTCTGAATACCTTAATTAAAAGCAATTTGCAAAGCAACAGAATTACTTTCACGTATCGCCAAGTCTAATAGTTTTACTTTATTTAAACCCTCATAGGCAGCGATTTTACACCCGCGCACCGCAATATCGTATCAGATAATCGGAGATGTCTTAGATTTCTTTACTCGTGAACTTTTGCCCGCGATGCCAAAATAAAGATGCGCCTTGGTGGTGGTTAAATGTCACGCCGACTGAAGAATCACCAGAGGCCAAGTCTGCATGGAAATTTGGTTACGTATAAAAGGATACCGTCTTCCTTCGTCGTATCAGTTGATACCGTCGTCCGCTACATTTACGTTGTTCGACATTTACCCTAAAAAAAAACTTGAAAATGAAAATGGTGAGTGTTGCGTCTCCGTTATTTTGGAAGTGTTCGCGAATCATCCTTTTTTTAATGAAATGGTTGAAATTTCGTTAATATGGCATTAAATTTGATCAATAGCAGTGACTGAAATGTATGTAATATTTAATGCGTGTTTTCAGATCGTGGTCTTTTCCGCCCTTGTGGCCGTATGCTTAGCAGCACCCCAAAATCAAGCCGACAGAGATGCCGTCGTACTTAGATACGAAAATGATAACATTGGAATCGATGGATATAATTTCGCGTAAGTGTTAAACGCCATTTACATAATTTTGTCATAATTTTCACGTCATCCTAATAATTCCTAGGGAAATTGTGTACAATATTGACAATTTCAAGCCAAAATCTATTCTTTCTTAATTAATAATTCAACAACCCTGACTAGATCAAGTTTCGAAAAACGAAAAACTCACAAACAAATAACTAAACTGCCCAACTATGAAAAACTATCGATATTCAATATTATATCCTACAAAAATTGCCACTTATAATAGTGCTAATGTTTGAAGCCGTTTGAAAATAAAAACGTTACTGTTTTTATTATAACTGGCAATAAAATTCATGTGTTGCCATGGCAATCTGTCAACAAAATCAATTTTAATTGGTTAAAAACCAATGTTGAGAAGAGGTAAAATTATTTTACAAAGTTATTAATTTTCAAATTATTTATGAGCTCCAAAAAATTTCCTGATTTAATTTGACCTCGTGTGGTATTCGGTAAGAAAATCCCACATTAAATAGTGTTGGAAAATCAAATATTTAAAATTTATTGCTCCAGTAGTAAGTACCTGCAAAATCGTTCAGGATTATTTGCACTTAAACTACTCAAAATTTAAAGTGCTAAATGCAAAAAAGGTGAACAAAATAAAATAGTGTCTAAATATGGTATATATTTAATTCGTTTCATTTCCAAGTCCCTAGAATACAAAAAATCATCATAGTTTTCTAACTGAATTGCAACAAAATTAAATAAGAACCAAAAATATTCCGTCACTATGAATGTCAAAACTTTCGCTACTCACGTGGAAAAAATTTCCACTAAAATTCATCCATTTCCACGGTGATCTGTCAAAAAATCACGTTTTGATTGGATAAAAATTACAGGTGCGAGATTTTCACAAAAATGCCGTCAATAAAGTGCATTTTATCTGCAAAAGGATTTACGAAAAAGTAGTTTTTAGACCAAACTTGTTTTTCCTCTAAAATCACTACAAAACTGACGCCCTAAATGATAATCACATCATGATTACGATTTCAAATGAAAAAACACAATACATTTTACGAAAAATTGATGGTATGGAAAAGTGAATGTATTGCTATTAATATTTTTAAAAAGGTATGGCAAAATTATTCGTGTAGTCTTGATTTTATTTTTATTATTAATAAAAATAAATAGTCATAACCCTAAAATTAAAAAAAAACTCTTTTTGAATGAAATATATTCGTTTAATAATTAATAGTCTCTGCTACTTTACAATATCTCAGGGAAAGTATTTATTTATAAAGATTTCAATTTTTTTTTCACAATCTTTAGCGAAATTTAATAAAATTCGACTCAAAATAACAAGCACGTAACGAAAAATACGCTAATATATAGTTGGTTGCATAATCCAGGTACAATAGCTTATAGAACCCATATAATAATTTTGGAAAATATGGCCAATAACAAAAAATGAAGAAAGCCCTATTTCAATGGCACGAATTTCCGTTCTAGCTACGAGACGAGCAACGGAATTTCCCAGCAGGAAGATGGAAAACTGCAAAACGCGGGTACCGACAATGAATCGCTATCCGTCCGCGGAAGTTACTCCTTCACTGGCGCAGACGGAGTCGTCTACACAGTGACGTACGTCGCAGACGAGAACGGCTTCCAACCGGTGGGCGATCATCTACCAAAAGCGAGCAAATAATTTGTCACCGCATTTAGGAAACCAATAGGGGCCACAATTACCGAAAACATTGCTTGCTCAGTATTTAATTGGTCCGCCGTTTTTTTGTACTTTTGTTTCACGCTTCGAGTCGGATGTTCTCAAACGCTCTTGACGTATCAGAACGTCCTACCGAATCGCGACTATTTTGTTACATAAAAAATACTGTTGCCTATTTATATACTCACTTGTAAATATACACACTTTTTATATACGATGACGAAATAAAATTTATTTTTCAATACGATTTCGACCGATTTATCAGATTCCTAGTTACCACACGCTTACACATATATAATAGTTTCAAAGTCCGGGGAAAAGTAATTCTTAAATCAATGACGCCAGTGCTATGACGTACGACGGCCCATTCAATCTAAATACTAGCTCTGTATATACTAGAAATTTCCTAAATAGTAGGTGAAACTTGTGTTTCTTGTGCAAGTGAAACGTAATTAGCCAACGATATAATTGAAGCTGCTTTATTAACTGACATATTTATTTTTGTAGCATTCCACACATCCAACAGCCACGTCTACTTTCTATTTATTGGGTTAGAAGGCAAAATAACAGCACCAAAACTGTAACTTGTATATAAATAATGTTTGTTTCGAGTGGGCCAGATGACTTCACTGCAGCGGTAGGTGATGGCTATATTTTCTCTTCTGCAATTGGGTCCAAAATTCAAGAAACAAATCTAGCATAGACACCAGAAACACAGGTTTTACTGAAAAATCGTTTCGCAACGAATTCTTCAAAAATAAATTACGTTTTGCACAACCGTTTAATCTTCGGTTTTATTGTTCCTTTAGTTGATAGGACGTGTGTCGTAATCGGTCATGTTAATCCGTCGCTTATTGTGCAACTATAGTGCCGTCTATTAAGATGACATTCTAGGCGAAAGTTTTTAAAGTTTGCGGCTCGTATCCGCTTAGGTGCAAGTTGCATCGGCGGTATCTCCTTTCTCTGGCAATTGCACCGGCTATCGCGTTGTCAGATTAATTGGGAATTGCCGAAACTTGTCGCTGCCGCAATAACCTCAGCCGATTGCGGAACGATCTTAATGAGTTGTAAATCTAAAGTGCAAAATCAGAAATAAAAATCAGCCGCCTAAAACTCTCACACACATTCATTTGTAATTTATTGTAACTTCGGGTGTCTCCCTTATAACTTTAATTCCCAAGCGTATGCCCAAGTTTCACTAAACGACATTTATCAAGGGCAGCCTCACATTTTGTTGTGTTTACAATTAGTTGATTTTAAATCCTAATTATCGGTTTGATTTATGTTGCACTTGCTGAACATTTTTGTATTACTGTTTGTCTACGATTGTCGATAACATTTCGGCAATATATTCTATATTATATTATACCGCAAGATAAACATTTCTAGTTTTAACGTTCGTACAGTTCTACTTAATATTCAAAATACTTAAGGCGCCATCTTTTGACAGGGAGCTAAATACGGCGCCGATTCTACCGCGCCCCGCAGAGAGTGGAATTTTGAATGTATTTATGAATTCTATTTCTTTTATTACAAAAATCTAAACCGCAAACGATAAAAAACACGTTTTCCGATACAGAGCATTGCGGTACTCTCGTTTAAACACCCGTTAAACTCAATTGCCTACGTCGCCATCTCTTTAAAGGCGACTGCACTATTGCAAATTGTACAACAGTCGCCTTGAAAATCATGTTTGTCTCAATTATCTCAGCATTTTTGAAAGTGTTTGTCCCATTTATTGGTTTACGTTCATAATTTAATAACTAAAATAACATTTCGGGAACAAAATTAAAAGTATATTTTACAAAATAAAATAATAAAATTCGCCCTACCAAAAAAAAACTCTATTAATACAATTTTTTTATGTCATCATCAGCGTTTTTTCTTTACTACTCAGATAGCATTTAGTATTTTTAATACTTGCATGGCAAAAACAAAACAAAATTCTTTCTACGACAGTTTATACACAATGTCCATTGTCATGCATACCTTTAAGTGTTTGTCACATGCGGATGTCTCGTTGACGACATACTTATTAAAGAAGAGGGATTTACCGTTTTAGAGTTTCGTAGATCTTTATAAAATTGGCGTCACAATTTACTGTGGGTATAGGTGGATTTGATTAGATTACGACAAACGAGCACGAAAATTTCTTCTAATGCCAGTTGACGACTTCATGTCTGTCATTGGGACTCCAAACATCCATTAGACATCCACAGGGAAACAACGGACATCCTTTGTAGGTTCAGCAACAAATAACTGAAGCAACTTAAAATAAGATTAAAAATAAATAACTTTGATATAAAAATTTGATTAAAAAATTGTTGCAATACAATTTATACGAATTTTATTTATTTATTATTTTCTTACGTGTAATCACAAAACTAAGAAGTCAAATACGTGTTTATCCAACAAACTAATCAGGATTTACAGTATCCACTCTAGTAATACTAGTTTGAGAAAACAATAGTTTCAGATTCCTGAATATAAATCTGCTCTATTTCAGAAACTCTCTTTGTACTGATAAAGCTTACAATTAACTCCTTTCAAGAACCTTTCTGTAAGATCTTGTAAAATCAACACGACGAAACTTTTCCACAATTTTTTCATCACGTTTTGTTTTCATCAATAGAACGTTGTTTTTTATAAAAATAGAGATATACAAAAAATTTTTTTTTAATTGCATACATGGCGATAATGTTTGTAATGAATGTAATTTTATTGTGCATTCACCCTGTATTAAAGGTTTTTCACGTATCGCCGAATTTAAAAGTGATGGTAAACTTTGGTAAATTTTGAATATTTGTACCAGCAGTAACGATTTCCAATGATACTTTTAAAATATCTTGCGCACAGTATATGATAAACGAAGATTATCCCATCAATTGCTTTTCATTTCACCTACAGAAACGGCAATTTTCAGGGTCTTTTATATTTTTTGCCCATGAGGGACACACCCTGTACATAATCTAAAAAATGGCAGAAGTAGAGGTGATAGCACTGCATCTCCCAAGTTTCCTGGTCTATAAACTTATCCAATAGAGTAATTGGTTTTCGAAAAAATGTGTTTTATAAAACTATCCGGTACGTTGCATTAGTAAATAACGTCACGTCTTTAGATTGAGCAGTAGAAATAGCGAGTTTCTACATGGATTTTTGTAATTATCTCGAGCAGTGTACATGAGACAAAAAAACGGTAAATACAAAATTTGAAGCTCTCGACGCGGCCTACAACAGATAGATTTTTGAACATAACTAAAACACCATGCAACCGAAAATATGCTTGAAATAAAAGTTATAGTAGCCCCAAATCTCTCGCGTGTCCTGGCTCAAGAGTTTTGCCGATCAGGTGAACAGTTTTCGAAAATATTATATTATGCAACAAGTGACTTAATAAACGAGTGAGATAAAGAGTTTACCAAACGTGTTGCATACTATACTTTTTCTATGACCGTCACGAAAAAATCACAATTTAACAAATTAAAAATATTAACAAATTATAGGATTACTAAATTTGGTACCACTCAAACAAAATATTTGCTAGTTGCCATTAAACCTATTCGTTTATCGTTCCGATCGGTTCTGCAATTGCTGTCTCTTTTTAACTGTGTACCTTAGACAGAGAGAGAGAGAGAGAGATGTATTATTGAATATGTTAATAACGGAATAAACACAATTTTGAAATGTTATATTGTTTATTTAACTTTAAAATTGATCATTAAGTAGTTTATTTAAAGAAAAACACTGAAATTGAAGAAAAATCATCCAAGTATAGAGCTTTTAGGATTAACTTTTTATGATCGTATGAGCAAGAAACAGCAAGTCCTCACTTTCAATTTCGTTTTGTTTGTACTGATGATACATGGATATTCGAAAATCGTACAACTGGTCTTGGCAAGATATTAATATAAAAACTATAAAAACCACTAAAGTTCATGTGAACAGTATGTAAAATTTTTGTGGGAAACTTAAATTGTAAATGTCACTTTACTTACCGACTAATCCACTAGATTTTAATTGTAGCTTGTAGCACGTATTATTTAAATTGTAACATTTTCCTGTATATTAGTTTTTGGGTACATCTTTCCAAAACAACACGAATGCATTCACTGACATGACAGTCAAAATTGACAAACATCCACATTCAAACAGTGTGGTAAAATCTCCGAAAACATCCGATTGCTTCCAAACCCGTGCGGTAAAATTCCGGATATGTCCGACGTGGTTCGGATCCGTGCGAAACGAAACTGAGGTGGTAAAGTGGCGCTTCCCTCATGCTAGATCAGTGTGTAATTAGGCATTTTTCAAAGCGGAGTAGAAAAAACAATTTTTTTCTGCAAACCAAAATAACCCAAAAAAAATTTCATTGTTCCATAAATTAGATTGCACCCAAATTCAACAGTTCAAATGTGGGTGCGGTCTTCAACTTCACTGCGAAACCTGAAATCGATAGTTGCAAATTGGAGACATTTTTTATGTCTTACTATAGCAGGGAATATTTCGAACCCCCTGTACAATATGTAAAAACCTTAAATACCTCGTTCAGCTGTCTACACGGCCTATATTGTCATGTGAAAGGATCTGACAATAGAAATAATATTTTAGTTATAGAAATTTTTCCTTAAAGGAAGAACACATCGCCGCTGATATAAAGAGTATCTCGGTGAAGGCCAAGGTCACTTGCACCGCACCAGCCTCCCAACAAAGTTCGTCGAAAAACGACACGGAGAGAAAACAGCAGGACTGAGACTGTAATTTGTATTATATTCCTAAGCGAAAGAGATGCGGATGCGAAGGGAAACCGTCGTTACTTACCGAAGTTACTCCGTAAGCATTTCTCTAGACTTCTCGGCTATTAATTATACTCCACGTGTTAAAAACATGATGAAGAAAATCCCAACCTAACCAAAAATCGTTTTTTGTTTTGGTTGACTGATTTTTGTTACTTCGTTTTTGCACATTTAATTTAATTCAATTTAATTAAAATTAGCATAAATTATAAAATAGAATAACCGCATTACAGGTGTACGAGTATTTGTTATGTTCGTATTCTCTGCTGAAACCTCTTAGGACATAAAAAATTTAAAACTTTGTGTTCATAATCCTCAACTTAAATTACAGATGTATCCTGTTTTGAGATATTTACTGCATAAAGAGGAGAATCCACGACGGATCTCAAATTTAAAGATTGCAAAAAAGTAATGAGAGATAGAAGTGATCCATTTAATCTGCAAGAGAGGAT